ACAGAGTGCACACAAGCAGGGGAAGCGGCAGGCACAGGGAGAGGGAGAAGCAGGCTTCCTGCTGAGCAAGGAGCCAGACTGGGACTTGATCCCAGGATGCTGGGATCCTGACCTGAGCCGACTGAGCCACCCAGGTGCCCCAAATAAATAAAATCTTAAAGAAAAATCTGGGGGTGCCTGGGTAGCTCAGTGATTAAGCATCCAACTCTTGATTTTGGCTCAGGGTCTGAGATTGAGCCCTGTGTCAGGCTCCATGCTTAGAGGAGTTTGCTTCTCTCCCTCTCCCTGTGCGCTCTGTCTCTCTCAAATGAATAAATGTTTAAAAACAGGATCTCAATTCTAGCCTTGCCTCTTACCACATACTGGCTGTGTGACCTCGGGCAAACCGGATCTGGGCCTCAATTTCTCCATCTGTACAAAGGGATAAACTAGCTGTCACTCAGGCACAGCGAACTCTTCAGTCTATACCAAACTTGTCCAGAGCTTGGCATCTGGAGTCATTCTAGCCTTCTATCTCCCTCCACATCTCGTCAGCTAACAAATCATGAGATGTGAGGACTCCTGAGGACAGTGATGCTCTAACTGTTCCTCATAATAGGGTCCTTCCTGAACGCCTGCCATCAGAGCCTCCGAATCACCGCGGGAGAGGAGTGACAGGAATCTACACATAAAAAGGGGGTCACCGGATGATGACACAGACCGACACAGAGGTTTGGCACTTCTGATGGTATCAGCTCTTTTAAGACATTTTCCAGGCTTCTCAAGGATTTTTCAGTGGCTCTGGGTGGGCCTGAAATCTGCATATTTAACAAGCACCTCAGGTAATTCCTACTTGAATTTGGCCCATTTGAAAAGCTCTGACCCAATGCTGGTCTGTTCTCTCCAGTCCCATCTTACTGTCTTAATTCAGTCCTCTTCACCTGTGTCAGCTAGCCCAGGACTGCCTCTCAGTCTCCCAATACTTACACAGCTCCCCCCACCTCCATTTTCCACCATCCTTTAGAAGGATCTTCCTAAAACACAAATTGGCCAGCACCCCCTCTTCTGCTTCAAACCCTTTAATAACCCCCTACTGCCCTTGGTCCAGCAGCCTTATCTCCATGCTCTGGTCGCTCCCCAGCCTCGTCTCCCACCGCTGTTGGTACCCGGGCCACACAGAACTGACATCAGGCTACAACAGGCTTTGTGCCAGGGCACCTAATGAGAATGGCTAACTCTTAGGGAAGGCTTACTATGTACGTTAGCCTCTGTCCATAGGCGCATTAGCTCATTTAATCCTCAAAACGAAACTCACCCCAAGAGACAGGTATTGGATAATCTGCCCAGGGTGCCCTCTCCTAGGAAAAGGCTCAAGCTCCGCCCCCGGGCGTTCTCTGCATGGAAGGCGCCTCTCATGCCCTAGCTCTCCAAATCTCACTTCATCCTGCAAGTCTTCCTCTCTGCGCATCCCCCCCCCCGCCCCCCGCTCTGAGCTGAATGTCCCTTGTGGGCTGGCACGGCCCCCTGTACCTCCTCCGTCATGGCTCCCATTATCCTGGAGGCACCGTGTGCTCAGGCGTCCGGCCCCTCTGACAGCCTGCACTCCCTGAGACTCCGACGCTCCCGCAGGGATCCCAGGCTTCGCACAGCACGCGCGCGCAGGCAGGACGGTCGTCTTAAAGGCCGCCCCTACACTACGGACGCAGTAGCTCCTTGGCTCTTCACCACCACCCAGGGAAGGAGCTGTTACCGTCGGTCCCTTTATATTCTTGAGGAAACTGAGGCTCAGAAAGCTTAAGTCACAGTCAGATCCAGCCTCTGAATCCTCAACATAGCCTACGAGATATCGGCGCCGTGGAGGGATTGGATGTACACCGTAAGGCCAATGACAAACACAGGCAAAGAATTTACTCTGCAGGATCCTAGGGCTTTCGCCTGCGCCCCCAAGCCGGGCCTCGCGGGCGCTCCCGCCGGGCTGGCCGGCCAGGAGGGCAGGCTGGATCGGGCCGTCCGCGGGTCCCGCGGGAAGCCCCAGCAAGGGCCCTTCGAGGCGGGGAGGAAGGGGTTACGGCCCCAGCGCCCCCTCCCCCTTCCCGACCTCCTTCCCGGCCGTCACGTGGCGCGGGGCGCGTGGCTGGAACCGGGGCGGGGGCCCGGCTGCGGAAGGAGGGGTCCGGGTGGGGAAGGGGAGGGGACTCAGCGAGTTGGGGGAAGCGCTGGGCGCTGCGGCGTAACCATGACGACTGGGCCCGAGGCGGCGTGTGAAGTCACCAGGACAAGATTAGCCCAGAGTCACGTGAGCGGCGGGGGCGGGGCTGCACCTGAGCCCCGCCCCTGACCCGGGCTGGCCCAGGCGCTGGTGGCCGGGATGGCTGCGGGGGTCGCCGGCGTGGACCCCCTGCCCCTTTATCCGGCCGCCTGTGTGCTGCCCGCCTTCGCATACCTCCCTCGACCCCTCATGCAGACAAATCTTGGGCCCGGGCACCGAGCGGAGGGAGAGCGATAGGTGTTGGAGAGAGGGGACTTGGGTTGGCCTTGGGGCAGCAGTGCCACAGAGAAAGCAGGAGATGGGGAGATAGGGAGACGGACACAGAAAGGGCGACAGGCACACCCAGAAAGCGGAGGGGGTGAAGGGGGGGCGCAGCGGAGAGATTCAGAGACGGAAACAGTAAAGAGCAGGGAGAATCAAATGGGAAAAGGATGGATGGAACACCTGAATTTGAAAAGCAGAGAGGAAACAGAGAAAGTAGCGGAGAAAGAACCGGAAAACGCGGAGAACATCTGTGCCCTTCCCAGTTCTTTCCTATTTAGAAGCTGAGCCTTGACTAGGCACAACACCTGGATTTTTAAAGGAAGTTCTCAGTCCTCATGTGGTGTTTGGCAACTAGGAGTTTTAGGCAGAGAGAGGGTGACATGCTCAGGCACTTGCCGCCAAGCCTCTCTCCAGTTCACCAGGCTTCCCCAGAGGCCTCGCTGGTATCCAGGGCTAGCAACTAGGGAGACAGGGAGAGAAGCCATTTCACCTGTTTGTCTTTTAGGGCAGTGGGAGTACCTGAAGAAGTAGGAGATGTGATCTGGGGAAAGGGAGGGAATCTAGCCAGGCTCCTCAGGCCACCCCCATCCTGTTCTTAGGCTAATACAGCTCCTCCAGATTGACCTGAGGGAGTCGGGGAAAGCCAGGCCCCAGGGAGCTACAGTCAACTGGAGATTCCTCTCCCAACACACAGCCCCTCTCAGTTTCCTTTATCTCTGACCTGCCAGCTGTGTCCCACTGCCCCCCAGCTGGGCCCTGGCGCCGGGGCTTTGGGGGCATATCATGCTAGGAGCCCCTGGCCTAGACATTCGGTCACCCTGGGGGAGGGGAACTGTCTCCCTGGCCATCAATTATGCAGAACATGGAGGAAGGGCAGAGATGTGACAGGAGGGGGTGGATATCTCCATCATTCTGTCAACCATATTTACCAAGTGCTTACTGTGCAGAATTCCAGATTGGGTGAGGGGACAGCGTGGTCCCTAAACTATACATCTGCCAGGGAAAGAGGCTCTCTGGACATCCTGGGAGGTCCTAACTCGGTTTCAGCTACCTGATTCTCTGCTGGTGATTCCCAGAGTGCCCCTTCAGGAGCCTGTGGTGGAGTGGGGGCAGGGAGGTCCCCCTGTTTATTCCTCCTCCTGGGTTCTCCTGCCTGAGGTGCTGGAAGCTTATGGCAAGGGAACCCTCTGAATTCTTTCTCCTACTGTCCTGTTCTAACAGCAGGATCTCAAGGCCGAGTTGCATGTCTGGCAGTCGTGGGGGCTCAGCTGAGAGGCCAGGCCATCTGTCTAAATTGTGGGTTCTCACACTGAGCACTCACCACTGTCCTGGACCTCAGTTTGCACTCAGGAAAAAGGAAGATTGCCCTTTTCTCTTGAGTGATGGTGGCAAGGAAAGTCTTCACAGGGAAAGGAAACCCAAAATTCTGGGGGGATGCTAGTTCCACCTCTACAGGCTTTGAGATCCTGACAGGACAAAGGACCGTGACCCCTCCTGACCTTGCCTCCTGGCCACTGGCTGTAGCTGTTTTTCTTTTTGGACACAGGATTCTTCTCAGATGGAAAGCACTACAGCTTTCTCAGTGCCTTCATCAGGGGGAAATGTCTTCCCCTGAGAACTTGGGGTAAACTGGAGATCACCCGTAAATCCAGCCCCCCCCACCTCATACAGGTCAAGCCCTGAGACCCCCCTCACCACCACCACCTCTTCTTCCCATCAGCTGGGCAGTGACAGGGGGTGATGCTAATTAGGGAAAAAGCAAAACTTTGGATTTGGAGAGAGCTGTTTTGCCACGAGTTAAAGAATGTTACCCCTCCAAGTCTCCCAAGCCTACCTTCTGGGGTGGGGACGGTTAAGATGATGTGGGGAATGCCGTGAGCACAATGGCTGGCTCCTGGCTCTGTCCTCCTGGTTGGCTGGACACCAGGTCTGTCTTTGTGGATTCTGGAGAGGCCATCTCTTCTGTCTGACCAGAAAAAGGAAGACTGGGTCTCTGACCTTCTACTTCCACAGGACATTTCTCAGTCTCGGGTTCCAGGGAAACCAGGTCACAGTGGCAGTGGGGCGCTGGAGTCCCTAGTCACTACTCTCTTTGCTTCGAGACCCTCAGTCCTTCCTCTGCAGATCCTACCATTCCACCTCCTCTGGACTAAGGGAGAAGGCCTGCACTACATACTCACCCCCTGGCCAACATGGCCCAGGGTCATCCCTCAGCCCTACCCTTTAAGGTCAGAATGAAAGGGAAGGGAAAGGAGGGGGTAGGAGCAAGGTATGAAGGGCCACAGCATCCCTCCTACTAAGGCCCTCAGGTGGACCTGAAAGAAATTCAGCACAATGAAGCAAATAGTTCCTGAGGTGGATGTGCATTTAAAAAGATGTGGAAGGGGCGCCTGGGTGGCTCAGTTGGTTAAGCGACTGCCTTCCGCTCAGGTCATGATCCTGGAGTCCCTGGATCGGGTCCCGCATCGGGCTCCCTGCTCGGCGGGGAGTCTGCTTCTCCCTCTGACCCTCCCCCCTCT